AAAGTCGTTACCGAACATGATAAATAAATAAAGATCACTCACATACCAATGTGGTCGAAAAATGGTCATCTTAAAATGAGTTTATGTGTCGTACGGATAGCTAAAATGCCAACCAGTATGTCAACATAACAGGAGAGTCGAGGTGGGAAACATCGAGTTAGAAGTCATTGACTTAAGTAATAGCATACTCCACCAGTCTGTCGAACATAACATACCAACGTACTCAATTATCTCAATGATTTTCTTACAGTTATTTTGAACCCATTGAGTCCAAGCTTTCACATACAAGAAAACGCTTCAACAGCTGTTATTTTTATTACCTAAGAATAAGTCCTCCTTCAGCGATTTGTTTGTCTACATCTCAAACAACCAAGGTACAACTGGACATGTAGTAAGTGACATATTAAGTAAAGTGGTATGTGCCAGTCGGTATGTGAACTTCAAGATGCTTCTGGATTACTGTAAGTGAAGGCTACATCAGACAATGATCAATAAGAGAGCATGTTTATTTCGATTCACTTTCAAATTTGGATTTATCTGTGAGATCCATCATTAAAAAGAAACAGCAGTTTGAAATAATTTCTTGACCCCAATGTCCAAACACATACGATGATTATTGGTTTGTTCGATTAAACATTTAGCTGTTCATTATCACAGTTGAATACTTGTTATATTTCCCTAAGAGATATAATACGATCTGAAATGGGAATTTTGAAAAATCGTCTTCAGAAAATGCCTTTTCAATCAAATAAAGAAATGAATCAATAAAATACAGAAATATATCAATTAATAACAACAATAATTCAATCAAACACAAATTAAAAATGTATAAGATTTATAAGATAATTTATCAACAGCATTCAAAAAACGACGTAGTGTACTAGTTGTTTGTTTTAAATGTTAAAATAGTTTTCGCTTCTTTTCCCTTGTATCAATCTTTTGTTACTAACATTAGTAGATTGACGTCTTCTGTATATTTCTTGCTGTCATACTACTTTTAGCAGAAGTGTGGTTCCCTTCTCAACTGCGTGTAACTATACACTAGAACTTTGGCTTGAACTATGTATATTAAATATTCTGGAAATCAATACCTTCCATGTTTAAAGGTAAAGCGCTATGTATGCTTTAGCTGGAAATCGTCCTAGGGACGTACGCTGTGAACTCCAATATATATTATACTGTAAATAATAAAATAGAAACGATTTTTTCATCTTCGAACCATGTTGTATTGTTGGTTAGGATAATAAATAGATATAAACATAAATGATAAATAAAAAGATAGATATAGACAGACAGACAGACAGACAGACAGAGATGGATGGATGGATGGATGGTATGAGAATACCAAATGAGTTATAAAAGACAAAACGTTTTCCGATTGTAAGAATGTTTACAAATTGAATATGTCATGAGAGCAACCCAAAGTCATCGAAATATGGTCATCTTAAACGAGTTTGTGTGTCGCATAATCTAGACACACCAGGCCCAAATTTAAAGTGTGCAAGTTGTTCGTAAGGATAGTTACAAAGCCAACCGGTATCTCGACATAACAGGAAAGTCGAAGTGGGAAACATCGAGTTAGAAGTCATTGACTTAAGTAATAGCATACTCCACAAGTCTGTCGAACATAACATACCAACGTACACAAGTATCTCAATGATTTTCTTACAGTTATTTTGAACCCATTGAGTCCAAGCTTTCACAGACAAGCAAACGCTTCAACAGCTGTTATTTTTATTACCTAAGAATAAGTCCTCCTTCAGCGATTTGTTTGTCTACATCTCAAACAACCAAGGTACAACTGGACATGTAGTAAGTGACATGTTAAGTAAAGTGGTATGTGCCAGTCGGTATGTGAACTTCAAGATGCTTCTGGATTACTGTAAGCGAAGGCTACATCAGACAATGATCAATAAGAGAGCATGTTTATTTCGATTCACTTTCAAATTTGGATTTATCTGTGAGATCCATCATTAAAAAGAAACAGCAGTTTGAAATAATTTCTTGACCCCAATGTCCAAACACATACGATGATTATTGGTTTGTTCAATTAAACATTTAGATGTTCATTATCGCAGATGAATACTTGTTATATTTCCCTAAGAGATATAATACGATCTGAATTGGGAATTTTGAAAAATCGTCTTCAGAAAATGCCTTTTCAATCAAATAAAGAAATGAATCAATAAAATACAGAAATATATCAATTAATAACAACTATAATTCAATCAAACACAAATTAAAAATGTATAAGTTTTATAAGATAATTTATCAACAGCATTCAAAAAACGACGTAGTGTACTAGTTGTTTGTTTTAAATGTTAAAATAGTTTTCGCTTCTTTTCCCTTGTATCAATCTTTTGTTACTAACATTAGTAGATTGACGTCTTCTGTATATTTCTTGCTGTCATACTACTTTTAGCGGAAGTGTGGTTCCCTTCTCAACTGCGTGTAACTATACACTAGAACTTTGGCTTGAACTATGTATATTAAATATTCTGGAAATCAATACCTTCCATGTTTAAAGGTAAAGCGCTATGCATGCTTTAGCTGGAAATCGTCCTAGGGACGTACGCTGTGAACTCCAATATATATTATACTGTGAATAATAAAATAGAAACGATTTTTTCATCTTCGAACCATGTTGTATTGTTGGTTAGGATAATAAATAGATATAAACATAAATGATATATAAAAAGATAGATATAGACAGACAGACAGACAGAGATGGATGGATGGATGGATGGTCTGAGGATACCAAATGCGTTATAAAAGATAAAACGTTTCCCGATTGTAAGAATGTTTACAAATTGAATATGTCATGAGAGCAACCCAAAGTCATCGAAGTATGGTCATCTTAAACGAGTTTGTGTGTCGCATAATCTAGACACACCAGGCCCAAATTTAAAGTGTGCAAGTTGTTCGTAAGGACAGTTACAAAGCCAACCGGTATCTCGACATAACAGGAAAGTCGAAGTGGGAAACATCGAGTTAGAATTCATTGACTAAAGCAATAGCATACTCCACAAGTCTGTGGAACATAACATACCAACGTACAAAATTATCTCAATGATTTTCTTATAGTTATTTTGAACCCATTGAGTCCAAGCTTTCACATACAAAAAAACGCTTCAACAGCTGTTATTTTTATTACCTAAGTTGGTATGTGAAATTCATGATGCTTCTGGATTAATGTAATTGAAGGCTACATCAGATAAAGATCAATAAGAGTGCATGTTGATTTCGATCCACTTTCAAATTTGGATTTATCTGTGAGATCCATCATTAAAAAGAAACAGGAGTTTGAAATAATTTCTTGACCCCAATGTTCAAACCACATGCGGTGATTATTGGTTTGATAAGTATGCTTTTGTGTCATTTAGACAATGCATCTAATACCCTGAGCATTATCTGCAAATACTATTCCAATTGCTGCGTGCATGACGACTTGTAAATGCTTGTTTCATAGCCACAAAGCCATGCATTTTACCATTGTTAAAAGACAAAATACTTGTTTAATAGATAAATAAAAACATATGGACCATGTTGACAGTATGTTACATAATGAACTATAATCACGAACACTGCAGACTATTCAACCGCTTACCTCGTTCTTAACTTTCATGTCTCAAACGGGACGGCTTACTACTGAACGTTTCAATAGGTTTGAGGATGATGTCGATCTCTTATCGGGATCTTCCCCTAACTTGATAGGAGCACCTCTTCTTCCTTCCACACACGTGTCTCATTTGTGTCGGTATTCGGATAGTTTGGACAGAAACAAGAAGACAAAGCAATGTCCTCGTGGTCTCACTCACAAGAACAATGCGATAACGTAGATACTCTTGCATGAAACATGCCAACAACACTTTCCCTATGAACTCTGAACATGCGCATTGCTGATATGTTTTTCGTGATCTGAGATTTTAGTCGTCATTTTGTTCATGACTAGGCAGTGGTGTAATTCACGAGTTATTTGCAAAATTGCCCAAACAAACAAACAAAATCCAAAGTATGGAAGTTTGCAAATTTGCACAATGAGCTTCTAGCCCACCACGGACTTACATGCTTGAACGATTTCGGTGAATGATGTGTAACCTGGTAGGTCATCCATTTCTTATTTTGTATAAATAAATATATATAATATTGAATATAATATTTCTCAAAACACGTCCTGAAAACTGTGATTATTTGCACATTATATGTACATTAATGAATAAAAGAAACACAAGAATGCTCTCTGCGTCAATAAGTTTCAAAAAGAAGCCGCCTCCCCCGTACTACTACTTTAATACTTAAATACAGGCCCTATAGTTATACCATGAATCTTTTCGGCTAAATCAGCACGCTATTAAATTCTTACTATGCCGGAACACCCCCCACGCACACTTTCAATTCTTGTGTATTCTCAATAACGATATCTTTGCTTTATAACGATTAAATTGTTTTCCATTCACAAAATCATAGTGTGAACTAATCAAACTAATTACATGACATTCCCAGCCATGTAGCTTGCTGCTATGTTTGTATAGTGTATGCTTCAGGCTTAAGACAAGGAAACCCTGTATGACGTACGTTGTACCCTTTTGTTACATGAGAGAGGAACAGATCGGTAAGCATGGATAAGGGGTCTCCTGGTAGGGAATAAATGGTCGGATATGTTTTTAAGATTATTGACATACGTATACGTAGAGAATAGGTACTGGACACAAGTAACATGAACATTATGGACGCCCTTTCCCTATGTAAAACAATTTTATACATACAATTAAAGATGGCTATGTCTAATATGATATCAAATTCTAGCTATGATTTGAAAAACAAAGAGACCGACAGGCAATCACCACACTCATAGCTTCAGACAAACACAGACAGACAGACAGACAGACCCCCGGATTCACAAATATGGTATTGCAGCACACACACAAAAATACGTTTAAAATGGATAATAAAACAAAATATATATGATTTTATTTTTTTATTCTTTCCACAAAGTCCTATCCTCTTAAAAGTTCAAATGTCAATCAAAGCTAGAAATTGAAAACTTACTGGATAAAACGCAATATCCTATCTTTGTCTTGTCGAAAACTGATTCATTTTCTGCAGTATTTCGTTAATGAAGTTTCTTTTAATTATGGAGAAATTAACCGGTTCATATGGAAAAAAATACCTTTAAACTGACACGTTGAGAAAATACGTATATAATTTGCGTTTCGTCAAGTCCTTAGATATTTAACATGAGAAGCTACGTCTCTGATTCGAACCAAAGTCACTACACATATAACTCGGGGCCATGTGTCAATGTAACTGAAAATGTAGGGAAAAGGTATAACGTCATACTGTACAGTTACAGACAGTCTTCCTGTTTCAGCAATGAAGCGCTGCTTTCACCAGATGCCGATGTTGTTACATTTTGTATGTTCGCGTTAACATAGTTGGTGTAACTATGACCTTGACATTGACCGGATCCTTGGTTCAAGGTGAAAGCGTAGCACGCGTCCTGTCCGTGACATTCCTTTCCACACTCGCCAAAGTTGGTCTTTGTTGTACTAAACATATCCGAACTTGGCATCCCCGTGACGTAATTTGCCTTCCAACATGTCTGGCGTCCTAAATAACGATGTTAACAAGAAAAAGCGCCATTTATTATCCGAATAAAAAAAAATCGTTCTTAAAAAGTTCTAATTGCATAGTACCAAGATTAAAAGAGGGAAATTGTTATTATTCATTATACCTTTTAGCGATGTGTCTCTTGCATCACGTGGTTTTTACAACTTATGAGCCGACAGACGTCCATCCTCAATACTCCAGGGTTTACGCTCACTTTCGCTATCTGCACTCCTGGACTATGTCTAAATTGAAAGCACACAGACAGCTGCTTGATTGGTCTCAGGTTTAAAAACCTAACCAATCGCTAGGTTGATACCCGTGTCTGGAGATTACAAAGAAGTGACACACGACTTCAAATTCAATCAATTTCTACCCTTACGCGACGGCGATATTCTTTTTTGATCGACATGAAAGGATCGAACTAGTCTTCTTGTCTCATTAACAAGGTAGCGCATACCGAGCTTTCAAATTTTCAAATTTTCAAAATTTCAGGGGTGCAGAAGGTGGAAGTGAGCGTACCACTTGAGTTTTGAGGATTACAGACCATAAAGAAAACATCATTCTTCTAATGAATTGGTATATATACAAAATGTAGAAAAAAAATCAACAAAATTTTGTAAACATGTTGAAGCCAAGACAGCACGATTTCATGAATGAAAAGATGGTTATTTTTGAATTAGATTTCTGAACTACATACGAACCAGACTGAGGAAGAGGACATCCAAGTATTTCAAGTCGGAAAGCCGAATGCCCTACCCAAAGTGTTGGGACCACCCGGATGTATGACGCAATGATCGGGGAACCCATGGTCGATTCAGAAATGCCCGAAGCGACGGAGTTGCCGGTAAATACCTGACAAAAAATCCGGATAATATTATTTACATATAATAATACAGCAATGGGAATCGTATACGGAAAATTCATTTCTACGAAGAAATTTGATTATCAATTTAAAATGGTTGATATTCTATGTAGACAAAGTTTGAACGACTGTTTGAAATGCATACTAATTTTAAGGAAAATAAAAAAGAAACACAAAAATGAGCTAAGTCCTGTTCCATTTTTGGAAAAAGAGCTTCACTTTCATCTTCGTACCTGTGCGACTCCATTGTTGTCCTTGACGTCTTGCCACGCCGTGCCATTGTCACTATACGATACCATGTATTCCGTAACGTATTGGCCATTTCCTGGCCTTCCCTGTGTCTTAAAACCTGTGATCGTTGATGGTTTCCTGAGCTTAACCTTAATAAATGTAAAAATAAAAAGGACCAAATAAGGAAAGAAATATTTCTTTCTTTGATTACAGCCAATTTAAAGATAATCTAAATACAGGGTGTAATGGTAGTCTAGTGGTAGGACGCCGGGCTCGTGACCAAAGGGTTGCGGGTTCGAGTCACGCCACGGCACTACTTTTCTCCGCTTGTTCCAGTCTACTCAGCTGTAAATGAGAACGTGATTTGGCAGTGCTAGAATTGTTGAATGCTAGCTGTTAGCGCCGAAATGGCAGCTCTGGCTGTATGCTCCCCAAGGATTTGAGAAAGATATTGGCTGGTTACAAAGGCCCTATAACCATGGATAATAATTTGTGAACCGCTTTGAGACGACCTACGAACTAGGTTGTGATAAAGCAGTATATAAGAACCTCGAATTATTATTATTATTTATAATGGATAGTAGACAATCTGAAGTCTGTGAACATTGAATAGCAGTTCACAAGCTCCGTCTATGCGCAAAATGAACACTCACATGGCTCACAATCTAGAGGAAAACACATGATATATTATGCAATAACACTTATGTTAGCTTTGTCTGATAATTTTCGAAAATATATCTCCATCTCTTCTTCGTCCCCTGTCTTAACTGAAATTATTTCCTGTCATATATATTTATATTCCTAAAAAGTATATTTAAGTAGTTCTAACATTGCGTGATATGTATTGTACTCCCATGTTTGTTGTCGAAGAGTCTTTACTAAGTTGGTAAAACGTGTGTCCGATTCGTGTGCAAAATATGTTTTCATCAAACATTACCGACATGTCCATCTTTCAGTTTAAATGTCTAAGACACATATTTAACCCATTTAATTATTCTATTAATGGACTTATTTTGTTTTAACGACACAGAAAAAAAGCGTCATAAACATACTTATCCGTATTTTTCGAATCCTATTTGCCAATACCCGAATTGTCTCCCTTAGACCATTAGTCATTATAGTTACTTTTAGCATACGTGTTCATTTTCCTGATACATCAACTGATATTTTTATTCTAGTAAATCTTCATTTTATTTGAAAAGGATTTTTTTTTTGTTAAGATTGTTAACGGTAAAAAATGTAAACAATCTGCACAAAAATGTATACCCTAAATTTGAAAACCCCAGTCGGAAATCTGCGATAATCAATTGTGTCTTGCGTCAGTGAAATGGACACTGATGACGATGTGTAGAGCCAAATTAAAAAATAAAATCTCATATATTATACAGCAGAATAATCAATACATAAAAATCCAGAAAAAGATTATAAATGATATATATTTAATTGTTTATACTTAAAACGTATACCTGCACATAAGAATGGTATGTTGGAATATACACTGTGAAAACAAATCAATGATAATGTATTGATCGAATATCATCTATGCAGTTATCATGTATGTAGAAGGTAACTAATGTAGGATCAGGTTAATTCTTCTGAGTCTTCTGCTGAGATGACATTGAAGTCATCAGCTCCAAAAAATGCACCCTCCCCCCACCTATTGCAACATTCGGGACGTCTCTCTTTTCTCGCATACCTTTTGTTTCTAGTCGGTGGTGTCTCACTCTGTGCAACCGTCTTTATAGGGCATGAAACCCGCAACAGAACAAAACCTAATCCCGTCTGAACATAATTTATTTCTGCTTTATCTAACATATGCCGTATGTTCTCACTCTATAATCGAAATTATTTACCTCAAGGTAGTCACCAATATAAGCGTGGAAGTTCGGGGAAGATAATCTGGCATACTTTCAAGATTGAAATAGAGGTTTTCTCACCTGGTCTTCCAGTATCTTTATGGCTTACATGCTAATTTCTGCAACAACTTCAAAACTCAACTCGAAAAAAACTCAATGACTTTTTTTTAATATTCTCTCGTAAGCTTTTATCAAAAATACATTTATTCAAAAATGATCATCGTAAAGTGACTTAAATATATATATATAATATCAATAAATAAATAAAAAGATAGCTAAACATCAGGGAATGCAATCCAAGTTTACTTCAATGTATTTTGCATCAAAGAAAGATAACATGCAATGGATAGATCTGCATATACGTCGTCGCCAACGCCTTCGCTATCATTGCTATGCTGATGACACACACATTTACATGGTCATCAAACCACAGGACAGTTGGGATACAATTTCAGAAAACCTGGAAGCTTGTGTGACAGATTTGAGGTTTCTCTTGTGAAACCAATTTCTATTATAAATACTTACCACAGTCATTATAATGCATATTCCAACCTTACTTGGCTCTTTACATACGTAAATAAAGAATCCCCCCCCCCCCATGGGGAACCCCTGGAAAACCCACCAATCAGACGGCAGTATTCACGCACGTGATCAGACACGAAGCCATGCTTCCCACTTCATAATTACAAAGCCCAAAATGTGAGAGCCAAAGAGACAAAGGGAGGCTGGGAGGGAACTCACCTAATGACTGTGGTAAGTAATTATAATAGAAATTGGTTTAACAAGAGAAACCTCAATTCTATTTCAAAATACGTTACCACAGTCATTATAATGCGAATTCGACTTACCGCAGTGGTGTCTCCGTGGAGCGATGAAGGGCTTCAACAATAGGACCCATACCCCCGGAGGAAAAATTCAAAATACCTTTTCTTTTGTGACACAGAGCCTGATTACGACCAGCGTTCCGGATCACGCGGAGAAGACATTATGAGGGTTATGCAAAAGAAGAGGGAGGACAGACAACGGACTGGGCAGCCACAAGAGGGCCCAATGAATACAAACCGTCAGACTGTCCCGACAAAGATCGGAACCGTAAACGTAGAATGACCCCTCCAAACAGCAGCTGTCATGACCTCAGCGTAAGAAGAACCATTAAATAAGGCCCACGAAGTAGCTAAAGCGCGAACCTCATGAGCCCTCACCCCTGACACCCGCAAGGACTGATCCCCTGCCGACTCATACGCAGCTCGAACAGTCTGAACAATCCAGCGTGAGATGGTCACCGCAGAGATATCGGAGCGACCGGGCTGGAGAGACTGGAACAGCCGAGACAAGTGTCCCCCCCCCACCCCCATCTGTTCTGGCCAAGTAGTAACGCAAGGCCCGAACTGGGCAGAGCAGGCGATCAGGACAATCCCCATCCAGAGTTGAAGCCAAAGAAGGGATGAAACCTGGAACCTGGTTCTTAGCTAAAAATGAGGGATCAGTGGTCACTGAGACCGAAGAATGGCCAGCCGAAAAACGAAGGCAAGAAGGAGATCTGCTGAAAGCATGAATCTCGCTTCCGCGGCGACCGGAAGCAAAGGCTATCAGGAACACAGTCTTGAAAGTAAGAAACTTCCGATCCGTCGACTGGAGGGGCTCGAATGGCGCCCTCAACAAGGAATCTAGCACAAGTGTTAAATTCCACCTGGGGACCAATTGCCGTGAACGAGGCTTCTCAATGTAGAAGCAATGTAGAAGCAGACAATGAAGCGTCCGAGCCCACAGACTTGCTACCATAGAAAGCCAGCACACTAGCAATGGCTGAACAATAGCCTGCAATAGTTCCCGGAGACAGTCCTTTGTCCTGGAACAGAGACAAAAGAAAGTCGGCTACAACGGGAACAGAGGCAGAGACTGAATCAATCGACCGTCCGTCGAGGCCAGAGCGGTGCAACCAGCAACACAGTACAAGGGTGTAGAAGAATCTTCTCCAACACCCTGTCCACCAGATTGAAGGGAGGAAACGCATACGCGTACATTCCCGACCAGTCCTGGGATAGATCATCCACCGCCATGGCCATAGGATCCGGAACTGGAGACACAAACGTAGGGAGTCGAAAGTTCAGGGTCGTGGCGAACAGATCCACATGGGGTCTATCCCAAACCAGGCAAAGAGACCGGAACACCGAACGCTTGAGGGTCCATTCGGTGAGAACCGGGCTCCGAGACCGAGCCAGAGTATCGGCCAGAACATTCAGACGACCTGGAAGGTGCCTCACCGTGAGATCGAGACTGATTTCCTGACACAGCAACAGGACCTGGGTGGATAATGCACACAGAGCCGGGGAAGGGGGGCCCCCCTGGCGCTGCAGATAAGCCACCACAGTGGAGTTGTCTGTCGCCAGACAAATGGCCTTGCCCTGCAGGGAGGGTTGAAGACCCCGAAGGGCCAACAGAATAGCACGCATTTCCAGAGCATTGATGTGTTCCCCCGACCACACCCCCGCCGACGTCTGACCGGAAAGGTATGCACCCCAACCGGTCATGGACGCGTGGGTGTAAAGGGTCATATCAGGAGATACCCGAACCAGAGGAACTCCTGCCAAGACATTGCTCTCGAGAGTCCACCAACGAGCTGATTCCTTCACCGACTCCGGCAGGGGAATGTACACATCCTACTGCCGAGACACCGAAGACCAAACTGACAGAAGGAACAGCTGGAGCGGACGGATGTGAAGCCGACTTAAGGGAACCACATCCGCCAGTGAGCCGAGGAACCGAAGGAACCATCGAACCTGAATTCGCTCCACACCGACCAGAACGGAGACCAACAGAGAGGCCTTCTCGAACTTGGACGCTGGTGGAAGGACAAACCCCAGATCGGTTCTGAACCGATAACCGAGGAAAACAAAATCTTGGGAGGGGAGAACCTCCGACTTCTCCCTGGAAGAGATGAACCCAAGGCGGCACAGAACGCCCAGAACCGACCTCGTGCTCCGGGACAGGATAACTGGATCCACTTGGAGCAACAGGGAGTCGTCGAAGTAGATGTGTGCATCTACCCCGAGACTGTGGAGGTGCCCCACTACTACCTGCAACAACTTGGTGAAAACCAAGGGGGCCGTAGTGAGGCCGAAGGGCATAGCGCGAGACTTGTAAATCTTCGGCTCGAAAGTGAACCTGAGGAACTTCCTGGCCGACCTCCTGACCGGGATGTGAAAGTAAGCATCCTTCAGATTGATGGACGTAGCCCACATCCCTGGACGCACTGACGCAATGATGCGTCGTAGCGTTTCCACACCCGCCGCCATAAGCCACACCTGGCTGACCTGACCAACTCCACCCAGACTGACCTACAGCAGGGCCAAAACCTGTAGGGCCAGTAAAACAAGCCCCACCAGGGGAGCAGCGTGCACCGGCAAAACCAAACGCAGCCGCGCTGGCACCTACCATAGGAAAACCTGGGGAGGAGGTACAAGGGATAGAGCTGGGAGCATAGGTTTTTACACCAGTGCTCAAACCACCGTAAAAGACCGGGCAGCAAATGCTGCACAGTGGTGGACGGCGTGCTAGACGCTATCACCACGCCAGGGGCTACATCAGGGATGCAAGGAACCCCGGGAGCAGACAACACTGCCGGGGGCCGGTCTCCGACACCAACACCCTCAGGAGTGGAGCGGACCGACAGGAGGCTACCACCAGAAGCATCAGCGGACACAACATGTCTGGCCTGTTTAACATTCCCAAGGGAATGTGGGGCCACCTGCCCTCCCACCACAAATTGGGAGAGAAGGCCGCCCCCCTGTCCCCTAGTCACCGTGGTGACCGGGACAGAGCCCAAACCCTCACCCACGTCGACCGACAAAACGAAAGGGGGGGAGGGGGGGGGGGTCGAGAGAAAGGTCCGGGTTCAATGAAACAAATTGTTTTACAACGGCCCCGGTACGGGCCGAAACCGTCGAAACGAACCCCAGGGAAGACTCAACAACTCAGCAAATGTCACACGGCTGTTCCAATAGCAAGACCGACAGCTAGGACAGTAAGGGTGGGGGTCGGAAGCCTCAAATAAATGACCCCCAGGACAGCGCCTTTAAGAAGGAGGAGTCACCATCTCAAAGTAAACAAACCGTCAAACGCGAACACGTGGCCGGAGCCTGGCCGCAAAACGGCGCAAAATAAAGCAAAACGCTAAATTAAAACAAAATAAAGTAATATAGTATTGAAGGATACAATATATATCGGTACACCAACGCCATTAGCAGTTGGAACCCCGTAGAAGAAACCAAAACACGTTTTGGAATAGCTTACCATCTGCTATTAGAAAGTCAAATACTCTGGCCAAACTTAAGAAGGACATCAAAACTCTCCACTTCACGTCTGCATTTTAGGCTCTTTGCAAAGACGTCATATAAATACCACCCTTTATTCATTCATTTATGTGCATATTGCGACGATTATCTGCTCGCTTAATGTATAAAAGTGATTGTAAGGTTATGTTTTGTTTTTGTTTCATAATAATAACTAATACTATTATCCATATTTTGTAAAGCGCTTTAGAGTAATTCTACAAATTATATAGGGCGCTATATAGATATTGTATATTATTATCATTGGTATAAAATAAACACAACACAAACATATATAAACGATATGTTTAAGCATAATGTCGATATCTCTGTCCCACTGCATTGTGGGTTTTCGTATAAAAGTAACCATCCCTTAATTTATTTGGATATAACTGTAGCACTGTTGGTCGTGATAACAGGTAACACACAGTACTTTTGAACGTTATAACAGGTAACACACTGTTCTATTAAACGTGGTAACAGGTAACACACAGCACTATGAAACGTGATAACAGGTAACACACAGTACTACTAAACGTGGTAACAGGTAACACACAGTATTATTAAACATGGTAACCGGTAACACACTGTTCTATTAAACGTGATAACAGGTAACACACAACACCATTAAACGTGGTAACCGGTAACGCACAACACCATTAAACATGATTACACATAACACACAACAATATTAGGCATGATCACACGTAAC